AACTGATAGGATATTAAACAACTGCTACCAAAGTCAAACATTTTTATTACAGTTGATCCAGAGAACCGGTACCTGATTGTTTTTCTAAGGCTACCTGAGGAAAAATAACACTTTTTGGCAGTTGTGGTGTTGGAGGCTGAGGATGTGTTCCTGTTTGTCCCAACAGACTGGGAGAAACCTAAAAAATAAATATTAATCAATATTTAAATGCAGTAAACTGAAAGACAGGGTAATTAGGATATATTATCTCAGAAAAAAAAATGGACTACTTGAAGAGGAGTCAGCTAACAGTTAAGAGAGGGCCATGGAAATTAATGCCACTCAGCATTAGATTACAGAAAAAGAGACCATCAGAGTGCCTTGACCTCTTTTCTAATGCAGTTACAGGTTTGATGGATAAAAATAATATGGCTGAAATAGCTGGTTATGTATGTACAAGGCTGTATCTCCTGACACAATTTAAGAAAAAGGAGCAATGCAAAAAACAGTGATGTGGCACATATTTAAATGGGTTAGCAAGCAGGCAATTAATAGGCAGAATCTTAAATTGTTTTTCTAGTTGGGTTTGGCAAGGCTCTTTTCATATCTGTATTATCATTTATTGATTGTTGGTTTAAAAAAAAAAAGAATATATATATGTATATAAAATCAGCCCTGATAAGGAATACAAACAGAGAGAGACACAGGTCATGGTTCAGAGTGATCTAGGTTTTATAGGTGCAGGTGTGAGCAAACAGGTCTTCTGCATGGTTAAGAAGCAGTAGGTTTGAAATGTGATTTCACAGTATCAAAGCTGTAACTATGGTTTATAGCATGTAATCTGGGAAGGAGGGAGAGATAGCAAACACAGAAAAACAGAACAACAGTAGATGGTTTACATTTTGGTGGTAAAACTACTATGTTTTATTTCCCTGTAGCTCTAACATTAATGCTTAAAAATACTGAAAAAAAAAATCTGCTGTGACTCAGGAGAAAAAAAAAAAAAAAGGCAGCCAGGAAAGAGACATATCTGGGGCTGCAAAAACATGCCTTGTAATAAGAAACTTGGAAAGCCTGGTTTACCAAAAGAGAAAGCTTATAGGGAAGCTTCATCATCATCATCATCGAAGTGCCAACAATGGATACAGATGGTTGATGAGTGTTTTCTAAAATATAGGCTTTTTTAGTTCAGTTATGGAGCAATCTCTGCAAGTCTTCTGGCTTATTCTGGATCAGCAAGACTGCTGCTATCTCAGAGATTACTCTTGCTTGAAGCATTCCTTCAGCTTCCCTTCAACTCTGTCAACTAAACAAAGTATGTGTTTTCAGTGTTTGAGAACTCTAGTTGGGCACACAGGCGGAGTCTGGTCCTCGCAGATGAGGGACAATATTATCATCAGCGGATCGACAGACCGAACGTTGAAAGTGTGGAATGCTGAAACTGGAGAGTGCATCCACACGCTGTACGGCCATACCTCGACGGTGCGCTGCATGCATCTCCACGAGAAGAGGTAAGGGCCTGCTGAGAGCCGCAGCCCCGCCTGGCCTGTAATGGCCACCACGCTTACTGAGTCCTAGAGTGGGTCAGAGTGGAAGGAAGGGCCCTCTGGAGATCCTCTAGCCCAATCCCCCCGCTCAAGCAGGGTTATGCAGAGCAGGCCTTCCAGGAGCATGTCCAGAGAGCTTCTGAATATTTCCAAGGATGGAGACTCCACAACTGCTCTGGGAGACCTGTTCCACCACCCTCACTCACAGTTTTGTAGCCCTTTGCTGGACTTGCTCCTGTAGCTCCATGTCTCTATTCAATGTCTTATACTGTGAGCAATTTTCTCCATAACTTTTTTTTAATCAGTGTTAAAAACTTGCTGATTTTACAGACTGATTTTGTTTTTAAGTATTGTCTCTGCAGCATTTTGTTAAAATTTTAACTGGTTATAATTTCTGCAGTAGCAAACAGCAGGAAAGTTGTGTTATTTGACTAAGGTATGGGGTTGCTGACAGAGTGGCCCTAGTGGCTTCTGTTTATTGTTTTAAGAACACTAAGGATTTCTTTATCCTAGTAGTCACTGGAATTCCAGTGACATTAATTCCTTTTCTATTCTAGTCTAAAAAGGCTTTTAAAGTATAAACCATACAAACAAAGCAGCATAAGTGATGCTTTACTGAAATCGAAACTTCTAAAGATCAGCTTTGTTTAATAAGTAAGTGTATTTAGTTACATCAGTAAAACAGTATGCTCTCAGCACTGGCCTTGAGCAGGGCAAGTTCATCAGCTTTCATACATGGATACAGTGGTCCATATTCCTTCTCAGAGCATCATTTTGCTGCTCAGGACTGTACTGCCTTTTAGATGCTGTTCACTATGTGAAATACACTGCTCCTGAAGAGGCGAGATGGGCAAGGAAGAAAAGGACGAGTCACATGCAGCCCTAATGAGAAGTCAAATCAAAGCACATCTTTGCTGGCAGTGGCTAATGGTATCTAGTGTCAAAAAGTATTTTCAGCTTATAACTGATTTATGCTCAAGTCCCGTTGCTTTAGCTTCTTTATTACAATGCTAAGTACAGGAGGGGTGTTCTTTCTTGTCTCTCCAGAGTGGTGAGTGGCTCTCGGGACGCTACACTGCGAGTTTGGGACATAGAGACGGGCCAGTGTTTGCACGTCCTGATGGGCCACGTAGCCGCAGTCCGGTGCGTTCAGTACGACGGCAGGAGGGTTGTAAGTGGCGCATACGATTTTATGGTCAAGGTGTGGGATCCAGAGACAGAGACCTGTCTGCACACGCTGCAAGGGCATACTAACAGAGTCTACTCCTTACAGGTATGTGGTAGAGTTTTCTGAAGTCAGTTTATTCCACCTTATTTATGAAATTGTGGGTACCTGTTTGTGACACACAATCCACAAAAATATAGGGACATGTGTGATACTCCCCTCTTCTATCCTGTTATATTAGTTATATATTGTTGTTGTCTTCATTGGGAGACTAACTTTTTAGAGAAGCACACAGTACAAAAAGGCCCAAATCTCTATCCCCACAAGTTACACAGGTTTGTGGCTTGTTTTTTGGTGTTTTTTTTTTTTTTTGGTTTTTTTGGGTTTTTTTTTTGAAATCTTGCCTCTATTTTGGAGCTATGTCTTTGATTTCCCTAAAGAAATTATAGTGGTTACATTTTAAACAAATCAGATGATGAAGTAATTTAAAATATGTCAAAAATAAAGAAAAATTGGTTGGATTAATGTTCTGAATTATGCAGATCAGTTTGCATTGCAATATCCTTATTTTGTAATCACATCTAGTTCCAAACTGTAATTCACAGAAAAGCCAAATCTAAAATTTTAATGTCCTGACAGGACATAAATCTCCAGCCTGTAGAGTCAAGTACAGATCTGCAGTGTGAGGCTTTGTCAAGAGAGGCCTGTTTTTGTAGATGCAGGTTTCTATCGGTATTACTTTGTGGCACGGCCCTATTGTCTCAAGTCACCCCATATCCTTTTTTTTGGGAAAGCAGTGTGCCCAAAGCAGGATACAAAATTCTAGTAAAAGTCTCATCAATGCTTCCTAGAACTGAAAGGTTATTTTATATGCCTTATACAGCATATCCCTGTTTCATACTGCTTCACTGGCATTTTCCCTGGGTAGTTATGTGCCCTTATTCATTCCCACCCAAGCTCAGATCTTTGCAGCGCTCTCTAGACTTTGACCAGCAAAGTGGTCTCTTTGCTTTGGGTCAGCCGTGCCAGTTTAGCTATCACCCAAATCCTAATGGAAGTTCCAGGTCCCTCTGGAACATCCTCATTTCTTTCACTACATTGTGAGCAAAGTTTTAAACTGGCTAGTACCCCTGCATGAAATCTGCCCCCTTCTTTATGCAAATGTAACAGTTAGTTACCTGCTTTTTCACATGACCTTTTCATATCTCTTTAGAAACCAAAAAAAAAGTGGTTAAATTTGTTCTCCCACAATTTTATATTTACTGCTCCTTGTCATGTTGCTGAGGGTTTAAATCCAGACTGATTATTTGATAATCCCTTCTGGAAACTGAAGTTAGGCTGAAGAATCTGTAATGCCCCCGTTTCCCATCAGTATCTCCTTCAATAATGGAAAGAATTGTATTTGCCACCTGAACCTCCTCTGTCTCCTGTGAGCTCTCCAAGACCTCGGTGGCTGTCTCTGAGATCGCCCTAAGACAGTTTGCCCTGCAGGGCTCATCCCCCTTCTTGCCAAGTTCCCCTCTGCTGCTACTGGTGCAGCACTGTTGGCCTGCGCTACTGTGACCAAGGACTGAATCAGAAAGAGTTCAATACGTGGCCACATGTGGTGTTTCCTTCCCACTGAGCATAAAATAACCTTTTTCTTCTGGACCTTCCTCTTGTTTTTTACAAAATAGCATTTTGTCATCCTCAGTGGATCTTGCTCCTTCTACCTCGTTTTGTGCCTTACCTTTCTGACTTTGTCCCAGGGTGCTCTTTCATACACATCTCTTGATCTGCTTTGTACTTTTTGTACAGTTCCTTGTGCTTTAGCCAAGTGAGCCTTGGTAATTTACTACACTTCCTATCTCTCCTTCACAGAAGGATACTTTGTGTCTTTAAGAAAGTGCCAGCTCCCCTGAACTCTTCTTCCCCTCTGAGACTAGATATATAAAAACCTCATGGGAAGGAAGTCTCGATATATTGAAGTATCTCTTCTTGAAGCCCACTGTTTTTATTCTACTGCTCTTTTTCCTTCCCTTTTTAAGAATCCTGGACTCTTACATGTCATTGTCACTATCACTCAAGTTACTTCTTTTCGCATTTATATT